ACAAACGAAACCAAAGAACAAAAAAGAAACACTTAAACACGAGGAGAAGGGTTTGGGATGAAAAGAATGAGCCCTACCCCCCCCCCCCCGCCTTTACCTCACTCCTAGAGGTGCTAATGGCTCCAAGTGCCTTTTGCCACCTCATTTCCGTGAGTATACACACACAGATGTATACCGCCAAACAAATGAAATCAAACATTGCTGCCTATTATCAGTCTGATTTTTTTTTTCCCAAAAATACCTTCCCATATTAGTACATATAGATTTTTCTCATTCTTTTTTTAACAGTTGCATGCTTTCCCACTGACGGGCTATGTCCTCATTCAACCTCTCTGCAACTGTCAGGCATGTAGCTAGTTTCTCGTTTTTCACGACCGCCCTTCAGTAGTTCAACATTTGTTACTCAAGCTCCCGTCCCGTCTCCACTTTCTTCACAAGGATCTTGCCCATTTCACAGAAGAAACTGAAGCTGGGAGATGGGAAATCCTCCAACTTCCCAACTCCCTTGTCTCCACACGGATCTAAAACTACATCCATGGGGCGCCTGGGTGGCTTAGTCGGTTCAGCGTCCGACTTCGGCTCAGGTCATGATCTCACAGCTTGTGGGTTCAAGCCCAGCGTCAGGCTCTGTGCTGACAGCTAGCTCAGAGTCTGGAGTCTGTCTTCAGATTCTGTGTCTCCCTCTCTCTCTGACCCTCCCCTGCTCACGCTGTCCCTCTTTCTCAAAAATAAATCAAACATTAACAACATTTTTTAAAAATAAAATAAAACACATCCATCTGGGGGCGCCTCGGTGGCTCAGTCGGTTAAACATCCAACTTCGGCTCAGGTCACGATCTCACGGTTCGCGGGTTTGAACCCTGCATTGGGCTTTGTGCTGACAGCTCAGAGCACGGAGCCTGCTTTGCATTCTGTGTGTGTGTGTCTCTCTCTCCCCCTCCCACCCTCAAAAAACTGAATAGACGTTAAAAAAACCAAAAAACCAAAAAACCAAAAAACCAAAACAAAAAAACCCTACATCCATCCTTTGCTCTCTCAGGAGAAAGAGACCTCTTCCGCAGGATGGATTGCTAGCCATGCTGCTTAACATTCCTTCGTGTGCTCACTCAAGGCTTCCCAACAGTTCTGGTTTTTCCCCTTTCTCTATTGCTTTCTCCCCCAAGCGTATGTAAGCATGTGTACTTATCTTCCAATTTTAAGACTCTCACCCCTTTTTGCCTCACAGCCTAGCTTCTTTTTTTAAATTTATTTTTATTGAGTTTGAGAGAGAGAGAGAGAGAGAGAGAGAGAGAGAGAGAGAGAGAGAAAGCGAGCACGAACTAGGGAGATGCAGAGAGAGAGGGAGAGAGAGAATCCCAAGCAGGCTCTGCACTGTCAGTGTAGGGCCCGATGTGAGGCTGAAACTCATGAACCACGGGATACGTCCTGAGCTGAAACCAAGAGTCAGAAGCTTAACCGACCGAGGCACCCAGGCGCCCCTCACAGCCCAGCTTCTTAAGGGTAGTCTGTGATCGCTAGCGTCACTTCCCTCATCTTCCATCTGCTCCTCACCCTGCTGCTGGCTGGCCTCCAGCCTCACTACTGTACAACTGCTTTTGCTAGCTACGGTCACCTGGGACCTCCAAGTTGCCAAAGCCAAAGGCTCTCGCTCAGGTTTCCTGTGACTTTCTCTCTCTGTGGCATCCGTGTGGTCTCTCCTGCTCCTTAAAACTCCCTTGGTTTGAGAAATATCACTCTTCCAGGTTTCTATTTCTGACCACCCCTAAATATTGGTCTTCACCAGATATCTGTCGTCCATGCTCTTCTGACTCTACACGTTTCCCAGGTGACCTCACCTGCTCCCAAGGCTGCACAATCCTAAGCTTTCTACCTATTCTCCTTTATACTTACATGCTTCTAACCAAACTTCGCGATTTCTCCCACCTTCTGCCTTCAACCTATGAGTAGCATCACCACTTACCCAGTCACCTAAGTCAGAAACCAAGCTTCCAGCGGCGCCTGGGTGGTTCAGTCGGTTAAGCGGGCGACTTCGGGTCAGGTCATGATCTCACAGTTCATGAGTTCGAGCCCCGCGTCGGGCTCTGTGTTAACAGCTTGGAGCCTGGGGCCTGCTTCAGATTCTGTCTCCTTCTCCCTCTGCCCCTCCCCTGCTCGTGTTCTGTTTCTCTCTCTCTCAAAATCAATAAACGTTAAAAAAAAAAAAGAAAAAAAAAAAAAGAAACCAAGCTTCCACTCTCTCACCTTCCAGTATCCAGTCACCAAAGTATCCCTCTCATTACGCTCCTACTGCCGACGCCTAGGCCAGCTCGTCTCCATCATCTCATCTGGCTTCAACTCGCCCTCCCTGCTCAATCTGTTTTCACATCGCAACCAGCGCGATCTCTCTAAGATGAGCATTTGGGGGGGCACCTGAGTGGTTGTCAGTTGAGGGTCCAACTCTGGATTTCAGTGCATGATCCCAGGGTGCCGGGATGGAGCCCCGTGTCCCGCTTGGGATTCTCTCTTTCTCCCTCTGCCCCTCTCCCCTGCTCACACTCTCTTCTCTAAAATTAAAAAAAATATATCTCATATGTGGATCTTGAGAAACTTAACAGATGACCATAGGGGAAGGGAAAGGGGAAAAACTGTTACATACAGAGAGGGAGGGAGGCAAACTGTAAGAGACTCTTAAATACGGAGAACAATCTGAGGGTTGATGGGGGGGTTGAGGGAGAGGGAAAAACGGGGGATGGGCATGGAGGAGGGCACTTGTTGGGATAAGCACTGGGCGTTGTATGTAAGCCAATCTGATAATATATTATATGAAAAAAAATTTTTTAAGTAAATTAAAGACATAAAACCAAACGAGGATCTGCTCCTGAGCACTGTAACCGCCGCACTGCATATGCTCTCCCTACCCCACCCATCCTCAACTACTTGTTCCATGAATAGACAGTGCGGCTCCAGGCCCCAGAGCACTGCTCCCTCTGCCAAGAGTGCCCTCTCCCCTCCACTCCCTTCTGTCTGACAAACTCCTACCTACTCTTCATGATCCATCTCAAAGGTCTCCTCTGTGAAGCCTTCCCATCCTTACTGCACAAACAGAGTTGGAAACTCCCTCTCACCGTAGATCCTCAGTAAGTATTTATTGCAATGATCACGCCTTATTAAACTTATTTACATGTCTGTCTCTCATTCTAGACCTTAAGTTCCTTGCGATCAGAAACTCGACCTCACTTTTGTTATCAGCATAAGACACACTGCTTGATAAAGACAGGGGGCTTGATAAATGTTGAATGGACAAATGAATGAATACCACGTACCTGCCCCAACCTCCCAAACCAAATTTCTCAAAGTCATCTTCCATTCCTCCTTTTCTGCCTCTGAATGCCAACAACTGGTCACCAAATCCTGTTGATTCTGCACCCCCTGCTCCCCCAAAGATCTCTCAAATTCATGCCCCGCCTCCCCATCTTAATGCCATGGCTCTAGACTGGGCTCCATTACCCCTTGCTTGAACTAGATTTGCTCCCCTCCAGACCACTCTCCACACTATTGCTGGATTTTTTAAAAAAAATTTTATTACAAAAGTAGTACATACTTGTAAAAAAATTTTCAGGTAATACAGAAATAAAAGCACAATACCCTCCCAGTACACATAAAGCTATATAGCCCCCTCTCCTCCAATCCCATTCCTCAGAGGTTACCACTGAGAACAGTTTAGCATACCTCCTTTCAGACCTTTTCCTTTGCATATACAAGTATACACACACACATAAATACGCACATGGTTTGGGCTTTCACAAAAATGGGGTCACACTTGTCTGTTACATATGGTTCCTCAATTTCTTTCATCCAGTGTACAGAACATTTCTAAAACACAAATCTGATTCAGTCATCCCACCAGAATTCATCATTTCCTATAATATATAAATCACACTTATTAGCATCAAAGATATGTTTCCTCTGTCTTTCGGTCTCATCTCTAGCCGTTCCAGCATAAATCACCTCCCATCCTTTCTGGAACAAGGCAGGCACAATCAATCAATCAATCAATCAATCAATCAATCTAGGAACACACTCTGCTGTCTCTAGACTTTGGCCTTTTCATTTCATGTCACGCTCTGCCTGGACTCTTCTTTATCTGGCAAGCTCCTACGAATTCTTTAATAGTCAGCTTAACAATTACCTCTAGGAAGACTTCCCTGACTTTTCCGGACATGATCACTCCTCTCTTTTCCCCTATGCTTTGTGTCTAGCTTCTTAATTGCACTCATCTCAGAGCACTGTTAAGGATTTATAAACGTGCTTTGAGTTCCACTTCCCCTCCCCCAACGTGAGGGTGAGATCTTCCGGCAAAGGCAATGTGCCGTCTTTACCTTTCCGTCCCAAGGATCTGATAGGGTTCTTGTCACGGAGGAGATGCTCAATAACAAATCTCTTGAGGATGTTATGATTCTGGGAACGTCTAGCGAGTACCTACTATGCATGGGCCCATGTTCAAAGCATGAAAAGAAACAGAAGACACACAGTCTTTGCCCTGAGGGACGCTTTCCCCTGGGGAGGAGGGGCACAGAACACATTCACAAGGCAATGGACCGTTTCGGACATATAGGTCATTTTAAAGACTCGTAGTCATTTGCCTCGCCATATAATCGAATAAATAATAAAGTCACGGGCATTCTGTCCGATAGGTGTATGTGTTTACTGGGGTGCAGAGCCCACCAGAACCCAATTCTGTGTCCCGGCAAGGGGGCTGCCACCCGTCCCAGCCTGCAAATTAGAGAGCAGAGATGACAGCACGGTTGGCAAATTTCGAAGACACCAGGAGGACAGAAAGTTGTTAGTCCTTTCGTCATGTCTTCTCCTTCCTGAGGGAAAAGGGGAACCAAGAGCAGTAAGTGGGGCTAAAGGAGGGGACTGGAGGCGGAGGAGACTGCTCTCCTTTGGTCAGTGGTAGGGGAGAAGGGGGTGCTTGGTTTTAAATCAGTGTGGCACTGATCCAAGATGATCAGAAGAGGTGACTTATTATAATTTATTTACTGTTTCTTAGTCAATTAATCTGGTGATCAGAAACAAATCAGGAAAGGTGAACCGCCTAGGCTGGGGACCAGGGAAGGCTGACCAAGAAGGCCCGAAGGAAGCCTCATTCATCAGAGTCCAAGTCACTGTCCCCAGCAATGGAGTGGAAATCCTCACTGTCCTCCTCGTCCTCTGACAGGTGGACCTGGCTCAGTACGCTCGGCCCAGAGCGCTGCTCTTCTTCCTCATCTTCTTCCTCCTCTGATACCTCATACCCACCGATGCTGCTGAAGCTTGTGTCTTGGGTGTTCGACTTGGGATCAGGCTCCTCATAGCTCCCGTAACTGAGAAGAGAAACATGTCATCTCCCAAGCTCAGGCACCATCCTCTAGTTGACCGGTCCCGTTCTTGGCGCCACCAAGGGGTCAGCCCACCTCACCTCCCCTGGACACTAAAATGACTCATTCTGGACTCTTCTACAGGTCCCCGAGAGTGAAATGATCCTGTTCAAAACATCACTCTGCCAACTTCAATATATATAAGAACCCGAATGAAAGCACACCCAAACAACACACCGCCAGCTCAAGGGGCCATTCATGTTCCGACAGTCTCAGGGTGTCATCTACCATTTACAGCCTCAGTCATCTACGTATCCAATTAGTCAACGGTCTTGAAGATCCTACTTCAACAGATCTTGTCTCTCTATCCCCTCCTTTCCACCTCGACTCTGCCTGCCTTAGCTTAGTCCCTTATTTTCTCTGGCCTGCACTACTGAAATCAGTCTTCATGCTTCCGGTCTTGCTCTCCTCCAATTAATTCTTCACACGTCTGCCGCAGTGCTCTCTATTTTGTTTGTTTGTTCTTAATTTTACTTAAAAAGAAATCACACAAGCAATGCATGTTCACTGGTTTAAAAAAGAAGTAGAGTCTATAACAGAAAAAAAAGAGAAAGACCCCAGCACCCAGAGATAATCTACTTGGGTATATGACCTGCCGGATTTTTTTTTTCTGCGCACTTCACTTAGATGCTTAACTTTTTTTTTTTTTACTTTACAAAATTGGAATTCTCTATATAGTCTTTTAGGAATCTGCTTTTTTCACTCGAGATTATAACGAACATCTTTCCATGTCAATAAACCTGTATCTATAGCATTATTTTATTGCCTGTATGGTGCTCTATTATGGCTATAACAGGGTTTATCTGACAAGTGTCTCATTAGGGTATTTAAGCTGTCTCCAACTTTCCCCCTATTAAACACAGCACTGTGATGAAACTCCTTGTACAAATGTCCTGATGAAGGTGTTTTATTATTGCCATAGAATAACTTCCTAGACACAGAACGTTGGGGGCCAAAGGGAATGCACAATTTTTTAGGCTTTTGGTTTACAAGGATAAATTGCTGTACCTCTCTCACATCCACCACCAGTGTCTTTTTCCTCACACTCTTCCAACACTGGGCATTATCACTCATTTTCATCTCTGTCAATCTTTTAGGCAAAATACTGCATTTTGTGGTTTTACTGCCTTTCTCTGGTTGGTTCTTAGGGAGGATATTTTTTCACATAGTTATGGGCCATATGCATTTCTTTTGGGGTACAGAGCAATCGTTCCAAAATGTAGATCTGCTCCTACCTCTCGTTCAGTGTCGGCCCCAAACTTTCGGGCCCTTCATGATCTGATCCTTACCTACCTCTTTAAATCGGCTCCATCACACACAGATCATGGATCATTCTCTACAGTGGTTTCATGCCTCCTACGTTGTTCTTGCTCTCTGAAGTGCCCTTTGCTTTCTTCTTCGTCTAGCTAATTCCTAGTCTGAGTTAGCTCAGTTTCCTCCTCTAAGCAGCTCCTCTACCTCACTCCTACCCAAGTCCCAGAAAAAACCCGCGGTTGCCTGTCACAGCACTTTTCATGTCACACTATGATCATCTCTTTACCTGCTCTAGGTTTCCCACTAGCCAGAACTCGTTGAAGGAAGCGACTACATCTTACTTGCTCTTTAACTTGTGATACAAATATCTGCTTAATGAGTCAATACAGATTCTAACTGCTTGCTGCATACCTCTGGCTAGATGTATCCAATGTCCCTTAAATCTAACATGACCCCAGACAAATTCATTTTCTCCTCCTTTCCCACTTCATCCAATACCTGTTGTTCTTCTTTCCTAGCTCACTGACATTCCCATTCATGAAATAGTTGACCCCCCTACCTCCTGAATCCGATTGATCTATCCTCTAAACAGCTCTTCTATGTCCCTTCCTTTCCCCCACGCTTCTAACAGATCCCAGTTGAAATCATTCCCGTTGCCCTAGAGTTCTTTTAACACAAAAACCTTCCTCTTCCTTGAAGTGATGAACTCCAGCATCTCAACACGCCAATTTAAAGGCCTCTACAATACGATCCCCTGCTACTTGTGGAGCCACAACTCCCAACAACCTCCCTTTACTCGAGAACATCCTTTGTCCTATTTCTGTGCGCCTCTGAACATACTGTTCTGTCTCTAGGGGTCTCCTCACTTGCTGCCACTCTTCTACTTGGGAGATGCCTATTCAGCCTGTCAAGTCCAGTTCAAATGTTCCCTCATCTGCAAAACTTTCCCTGATCACTCCAATCAGAGTGAGGCACTCCCTCCTCAGTGGTGACTGGGCACTTTGTACTTAACTTATGCTATAGCACTTAGCACATTATATCCGTAACGATTTCACTTGTATCAGTCTCCTCCACCGGACTGGGAGCTCCTCAAGGGCAAGACATGGCTTGCTCCCCTGTGTATCCCCAAGGGCCTAGCACAGTGCCTGGCTCTAGGCACTCAGGAAATCTCTGCCGGCTGAAACTGATCCGATGCCGGGCCCTCTGGCACCAGAGATGGGCTCTGATGCCACAGCTCTTGGAGCATGCTGCTGCCGATTACCTGATGTTGCTATCCTCCAAACCATGAGAAGCCTCCCCACCGTCTCCGTCATAGGACATCATGCTTTCTTCGTTCTCCATGCCCATCCTTGTGTTCTCCTGAAGCATGCGGGGCTGTTTGGGTCTTATCCCGCCGGACCCCACATCAGAGTCACTTCCGCTTTCACTCAGCTGGATAGCTGGGAAAAGAAGGAGGGCCTTGACATAATCTTGACAGAAGTAACATCTTTGGCTTGGTCTTTCAAAACGAGTTATGGCCAAACATCCACACAGGCACCCGGGACCCCCGACCTCGGAGGAGTGCCCAGGTCAGTATCGGCAAGACCGCAGTTTGGAAACAGGACCCAAAGAGTCCCTTCCTTTTCTCATCACAGCCCAAGCTTGGTTTATTTCCTCTATCATCTCCTATTCTTTTTCCCTGCCACTGCCAATAATCGACAAAATAAACCAAGTAGGATTTTTTTAACTGAAGTCTATTTGACTTCACACAACGTTGTGTTAGTTTCAGGTGTACAACACAGTGATTTGACAATATATGTTACACTGTGCTCACCACGAGAGTAGCTGCCATCTGTCACCATGCAATACCATTACAACGTCACTGACTAATTCCCTATGCTGTGCCTTACTCATTTCTTTTAATATTTTTTTTAATTTTAATGTTTTTTAGTTATTTCTAGGAGAGAGAGAGAGAGAGAGAGAGAGACAACGTGAGCAGGGGAGGGTCAGAGAGAGAGGGAGTGACAGACTCTGAAACAGGCTCCAGGCTCTGAGCTGGCAGTCAGCACAGAGCCCAACGCGGGGCTCGAACCCACGAACCGCGAGAACATGACCTAAGCGAAAGTCGGACGCTCAACCGACTAAGCCACCCAGGCGCCCCAGTGCCTTACTCATTTCATAACCAGAAGCCTATACCTCCCACTCCTCTTCACCCATTTGCCCTTCCCCCGCTGTGCTCTGGCAGCCACTGGTTTGCTCTCTGTACTTATGGGCCTGTTTCAGCTTTTTTGGGTTTGTTTTGGTTCACTTCTTAAATTGCACATATGAGTAAAATCATATGGTATTCTGTCTTTCTCTGACTTATTTTACTTAGCGTAATACCCTCTAGGTCCATCTGTGTTGTCGCAAATGGCAACATCTCATTCTTTCTTATGGTTGAGTAAAGTGGGGTCTTTTCTTACTTTCCTTCTCTGTTATGAATATAACACTTCTTTCTCATCTTTGTCAAGTATTCAAATCAAAGATGCTACTTAGGCAGTGCCTCTCCCACTGTCATCGTTTGCACTTTCTAGGTTATATTTCTTCACCTCCTCTAAGGCTAATGAATGTAACCATCCTTTAAGTGAGCGCTCAGTCCTCTGAGTCTACTAATGGGGCTGCTAGGAAAGAGCAGCTTCTGGTAAGAGCACATGTGGCCGGGAGTTTCCTCTTTCCTCCCCAGTCCTCAGGGTGCTGCGGTGAGCTACCCAGAAGAGAAGCCAAGCAACATGACTTACCGGAGAAAGGATTATCTCCTTCTTCGTCACTGCCGGCATCTTCCTCATCATCTTCTCCTTCAGACATAAGCAAATCCTCATACAGGACACTGGCTTGAGGCTGCTGCACAGTTCCTTCCTCTTCATCTGCAAGATCACCGTCTGCATCTTCACCTTCCTGAACGAGACCAGCTGGGGTCAGAGTCCCATCAACGGACCGAGTGAGAGACCACAAGCCACCACCAGCACCACCCTTGCTGCCTCACAAGAAGTTAAGTAATTGTGGTGGATAGACTTGTTTGGCTGATTCCAAAGATTAAAGTCGGATTGGGCCTCGCTATGGAGACTCTCTGGTATCACCCTGGGATTTGGCCTGCCCTGTACTAGTTGGGGCTCCTATCATGTTAAGGGTATAACGTAACCATAAGCTTTCTGTAAGCATACTCACTGGGGCTGGAGTCTTAGGTTTCCCATCCTCCTCCTCATCATCATACCCTTCAATATCTACATCAGAGTCTTCCTCGCCCAGCCTACCTCGGCCCTGGCGCATCTGAGTAAGGAACACAAATAGCACATCATTGAGGGACGTGCCTGTAGGAGGAGGTAACCAAGGGCTCTCACCCGGGACGGATGCTCCTCCCTGATATCCCAGCCAACCCCACAGCTAGTGGGGGCTGTTTACATAGTTCAAGGCATGTGTGCTTCGTCCCATTCATTCTTTGGAAATCACTGGTAGAGTTAAAACAACAACAACAACAACAACAACAAACTCAAAGAATAGGAAGGTCCTTGGTCTACTCTTGCTGTATCATCACCAGGAGACTCTTCCTTCCTAACTCATGATTTCCTCAGCTTCCGTTGGACTGACTCTCTGGGACAGAAAAACTGCCCTGGGTTTGGTACTCTCCAGTGGAACAAATCTCCTGACTGAGATCGGCTGATACAGCCGATGGGATTTTTGGCTTCAGAACAGGAGTATCTTCTGACACCTGTAGAACAGGCCAATCTCTCAAATGTAACTGAATTTCATACACAATTTTCATTTAGATTTAGCATACATACAGTACAGTAGCAGGGCCAATTGTTTTGAACTCTGTCTCTGAATGCAGTGAGTTGGTCTTTTTAGTCACCTATGAGGTTGCTCTGATGCCCCACACACTTCTCGTACTCGTGCCTTCCCTGAAGTGCTGTTGTGCCTGACTCTGCCCGTGGGGACAGACAGAAGACAACGCGAGTCATGTGACCTGCCACCAGCCCGCCTTGAAATCACACTTGTAAGCCTTCCTTCTCAGGGCCAAAAGGGCCCAATCATCCATGATACGTGTCACGTATCACCACCACTCTCCCATTCCCCACCAAAGCACGCTCCCAATGTCACGAAGAGAAAAAGAACATCCTACCTGCGTCACCTGCTTTTCTGGAGTGGCGGTGGGAATGTCCAGGACAGACATATTGCTCTCATCTTGAAACACAGAGGCATCCCGAGACATACTGAGGGAGGTGTTGGTGTCATACAAATCAGGAGGCTGTGGCACAAATGTACAACTTAGCTTCTGTTTAGGAAAAGGGAGTAAGAAATATAGAACTCCCCTTTGGGGCATTCACTGCAGAAGAAGGTCATGCAGAGCAATCCATTTAAAGAGAAGACAGTTTGACACAGCTCTGTGCACAGGTTTTTGGGAATCTTTCAAGTGCCGCTCATTCTAGCAGAGAGGCATCTGATGCATACGATCTGAAGCCTGAGGCAGAAAAACATCAAAGCTATAGGGCAATTCTATGTCCCGACAGCCTTTCTGCTCAATAACCTAGTGTCTTCTAAGCCTTGGCTTATTGCTTTTGGACCTGTGCAATTTTGACTGTCTGGGTTAGAGACATCTAGTAGGAAGTGGGATAAAGGAATTTCAATTCCAGCGAGAGCATGTAGTGGATTAATCGTTTATGAGCTCATCAGAGGATGATGCTATGAGGCAAAATGGAGTGGTGAAAAAACGTGGGCTCTGGAACAAAATGTCCTGGGTTTGAGTCCTGGCTCAACCACCTGCTAGCTGAGTAACTTCAAGAGATTATTCAATCACTCTAAGCCTTGGTTTCCTCAATTATAAAAACATGGGTGATAATGTCTGTCTCCTAAGGTTGTTGGGAGAACGAAGAGGTATGTATAAGCTCCTTACCCCATGCCTGGTATTCAATAAATTATAGTTCCCTTCCCTCTCCTCTCTCCTGAAGAGAACAGGGATTTAGCAAATGGACTTTTCAGGGACAGGAGGGCAGGAGAAACTGGTGTAGAACAGGCTGGAGAAGTAAGAAAGAGTTCTCTAAAAATCTGGCGGAGGGTAGAAATATTATGCGGCTATTTAAAAATCCGTTTTCAAAGACTATTCTCTCTCTCTGCCCCTCCCCTGCTCGCTCTCTCGCTCTCTCAAAAATAAAGAAATAAAATAAACATTAAAACATTTGAAATAAAGCGTATCTACATACGCTCGAGTGCACATGCACACACGCACCCACACCACACAGCGGATTTGAAGGAAACACACCAACATGTTCACGGCAGTTGGTTCTTTCTGAGTGGTGGACTTAACTCAAGGTAATTTATTTCTTCTTTATTATTTCCCAATGAGCATGTTGCTTTTAATGAAACCCCCACATTGGTGTTACTTTCTTTCTTTCTTTCTTTTTTTCTTATTAAAACAAACAAGCAAGGCTGATTGAAGACGGTTTTGGAGAAAGAGAGTCAAAACAGAATTTGAAGCATTACGGAGCAGGTAAGCTCATGGCTGAACAGAAGAGAAGATCAGGGAATGAAGGGCTAGTGGGAAACTGCGAAGTGAGCAACTTTAGATAAAGTGTTAAGCGGAACGTGTGATGCAACACCAGCGAAGTGGAAACAGCCGAGTGAAAATACAGTCTTGACTACCACCATTTAGGACTGGAAGCAACATATGATTACTGTTACATCTCTATACAACCAGAATTACCGCAGGTTACACTTAAACACGCTTTCATAACATTTGGGTTTGAAAGTAGCAATGAGTAAGGACAATTACTCAGACGCATCTTCCTCAGGGTAAGGGAAAACGCACCGGGCTTACTACTTCAAGATGTGTATATGAGGGAAGGCAACGACGAGAGGGCGACCTGGGATGATGAAGAGGCAGTATCTATGCCCTACTGTCCACGGGAGTCCCTGTGACTGTCCCAGGCAATAGCTCCTGCTCAGGAGGGAACACAGTGGCCAGGCGCTCCTCAGCCACCTGAGGCCATGTGGGAGGGGGAGAAAAAGAAAGGAAGATGACCTTTGGGTCTGAGGCCTTGACTCACAGAGGACAAGGTTTCCGCTGTCACAGACTAGAGCAAACCGCATGCCACTCGGTGGCTACACTCTTGTGAGGAATGACGGCTAAAACCCAGGCTTTAACTTACCAGAAAGGGCCTTGTGGGAGCTGTGGGCCTATTAGCAAAAAGGGCCTTCCTGGGCAACATCACTCACCCAAGCCCCCCGGCCCCAATCTGCCCACATACTCCAAGAGCCTTTCCTTGTTCTGGGCCAGGAAGAGGTATCTTAGGGCTCTTTATACTTGGCCCCTCAGTCACCTAGGTTTTGGGGTAAAAGAGAGTAAAAGACAGAGAGGGAGAGTGCACGAATGAGATACAAACAGCAAGAATCCCACACAGAGCACACAGATTGCAGTATCAGTTCAGAGTAGAGTGAAAAAAAAAAGTTTTCCAGTGGGAGCTGGGAGGCTTTTGCATTAGAATATTTGGTTACATTTGAAAGGGCCCCTGAGAACTTTGTAGACAGCTGTCATACAGGCAAGGAAACATTTACTGAATGTCTACTGTGTGCCAGGCAAATTAACTCATCTGATGTTTATAATCATCTCAGAAAGTACATTTTTGAGCAACGGAGATGGAGTTAGAGGGCCTAAGTTAACTCCCCAAGTTCACAAAGCTAGGTAATAGCAGAGCTAAGATTCAAACCCAGGCCTGTTTTATCACCAAAATACATGTACTTCCCACTTAACCACAGTGCCTTCAATACAGAAACCAAGCACCAGCCATATTCTGCTAAGTCCTATTCTTCAGATCCGGAAATATATTCTTTGTTATGTCCAAGTATATTCAAGGGACAGAACAGAAAGACTACAAATTTCTTATTAATCTTGCTCCCTACTCTTTTGACATGTAACTTTAAGAACATTATCAATGTCAGCGGTCTTCGTTTATAAGGAAAGGGAGTCGACCCAGGACAATGGGTGACAGCTGAGCTACACTGAGATGCCTCAGAGGGAATGAGTCATCAGGCGGCTATAAGGCACAGGAACAACGTGGCCAATGTCTGTAAGTGAGAATTCTGCACTTTAGGGAAGTCTTAGAGCCTCAATTCATGGGCAAGGGAACTCCAGAAGACGCGTGTGGCCATAGCAGTCAGGAATCTGGTATCCACGGACACTGCCTACACAACTACGGCCCCCCCCACTCATTCATCCCACACCTGCTTCTTCTGGATTCAACAAGGCCACCGAGACCCATGGCCCTCACTCACCTTAGCCTTTGAGAAGACAAGAAAGCACACGAAAGGCATATGAAGAGGAAGGACAGAGAAGAAGGGTATCTCAGTAAATGTATCTGTTAACATGCTCCCAATTTCCCAAACCAATAAGAAAACCACAAGAGGCAGTTCCTACGCTTCAAACTCACCTGAGGTGTGTAAGGCCCTGGGGTCATGGGATCCAAGCTTTCTAATTCTGCTTCTTCCAAAGCTGCCTCCTTAGCTGTACAAATATCCTTCTCAAGTTGAGTCAAATGCTCATCATACTGAGAAATAAAGAAAATTAGTGAATTCACGGAACATGTGTTTTAGGCACTGGGGATACAAAAGTAAACAAAGCAGGCAAAAATCCTTGTCTTCGTGGAGCCTCTTTTCAGTGGCAGGTCACATATGATAATTAAAGTAAATCATGACATAGTTTGCTAAGAACATTTAGTGCTAGGCAGGAAAATAAAGCAGGACAGGAAATGAGGGATGTGGGGTGAGGGTGGGGGGGCGGGAGGTTACATCTAAAATTCAGATAGGCAGGGAAGGCCTCCTCGCCTGAGGGAACAAAGAGATTCCAGGATGCTACATCCTAAGTGGATCCCCTCCTTACCACCTACCTCAGTCAGTGTCTGGTAACAGACATTCACAATTTCCTGGGCAGTCTTAGTATACTGACTTTCGGGCCCTACAAAAGAAAGAAGAAAACGCCATGACCTTTGTAGACTTCAGTTCCAGAAATTTACTTCTGGCACCGGCAGTAGTGTCCCACGGTACTCTAGATCCAAGAAATCATGTTTCAGCTTTAACTTGGAATCTTACTCTAATTTTGGAGGTGGGAAATGTCAAACCCACACCAAAATGGAGACACTAACGTGATGAACTTGCATGTATCCATTACCCATCTTCCATGACTACCAACACAAGGTCAATCCTGTTTCATTTAAACCTCAACTTTTACGCTGCTCCCAAATTATTCTGAAGCAAATTCCAGTATCAGTTCATTTATTTCATCCACAAGTTGTTTTAGTATGCATCTTTGAGGACTCTTCTTCTTCTTCTTCTTTTTTTTTTTTAAAGGTCTATCTATCTAGGGAGTGAGAAAATGTACATGGGGGAGAGGGGCAGGGGGAGAATGAGAGAGAAAGAATCTCAAGCAGGCTCTCCACGTGCAGCACAGAGCCAGAGGTGGGGCTCGATCACAGGACTCTGAAATCATGACCTGACCTGAGCCAAAATCAAGAGTCAGGTGCTTAACCAACTGAGCCACCCAGGCGCCCTTTTGAGGACTCTTCTAAAATATACTACATATATTATAACGGTAGATATGTATCATTATACATTTGTCCAAACTCACAGAATGTACACCTAGAATGAACCCTAATGTAAACTATGGGCTTTGGGTGATTATAATGTATTGATAGAGGTTGAGCAAATGTAACAAATGTGCCACTTTGGTAGGGATGTTGGTGATGGGAGAGCCTCTGCATGTGTGGAGGTAGAGGCTATATGGGAACTCTATCTCCCACTCAATTTTTCTCTAAACTGCTCTAAAAATTGAATCTATATTTATATATAAAAAAACAAACCAACTATATTACATCTAAAATAATTCACAATAATTCTTTAATATTATTAAGTAGCCAGTCAATATTTAAATTCCCCAATTGTTTCATAAAAGTTCTTTTACATTTGATTTCTTTGAATCATAATGCAAATAAAGTCCACACATTGCTTTGAGACACTTTTACCAATTTGGTGATTCTTTTTTTTTTAAGTTGACTTTATTTATTTTGAGAGAGTGAATGAGAAAGTGGGGGAGGAACAGAGAGGGAGAATCCTAAGTAGACTCTGCACTGTCAGCAAGGAGTCCAACACAGGGCTCGAACCCATGAACTGTGAGATCATAACCTGAGCTGAAATCAAGAGTCAGACTGAGCCACTCAGGTGCACCTCCCAATTTGGTGATTTTTAAGTAGACTATACAGTTCCCCAAATGGCCTTTGTCACAAGTTGCAGACTGGTGGCTTGCAAGTCAATCCAGTTTTGTTTAGCCCACATAAAAAATCATTTCAGTTTGTGAAGACAGACTGAGCTATACACCTATAACATAAATACTTTTTTGTCTGTAAATTATACCTCAGTAAAAAGTTTCAAAATTGTACTTAGTTGACAACGTTTTATGATGGAGAAATTTCATATATAAGCCCAAATGTCTGGCTCCTCCTAAAAAGTTAAAAGATGTGGCCACACAGAGTCCTCATTCCTGCAAAGCACCAATGGGCTGGGGCTGGGGAGCAGCTGCCCTTTTTAGATAAGGGGTGTGTTCTGCAGGTTACTGGCCCAGGTCTGCTGAACTCATTTATGCCTGGACCCTTGAAGGCATCTGAGTCTTTAATCCTTAACTTTAATATCCTCTAATACACTGTTCATTTACCCATTCGTTCACTCTTAAAACATTTTTTTATTTAAAAAAACTTCTGTTAACATTTACTCCTTTTTGAGAGACAGAGACAGAGCATGAGCTGGTGTGGGGCAGAGAGAGAGGGAGACACAGAATCCGAAACAGGCTCCAGGCTCTGAGCTGTCAGCACAGAGCCTGAGGCGGGGCTTGAACTCACAGACCGCAAGATCATGACCTGAGCCGAAGTCGGACATTTAACCGACTGAGCCGCCCAGGCATCCCCATTCTTAAAATATTTTTGAATACTTTCTATGTGCCAGACACAAATGAGAACAACGCAGACCATATACTTAAGGTCTATTACAGTGAGACAGAATATAAACAAATAGGGCAATAGAATGAAGTGAAAAAATTCATACAGAGGCACAGAGGAGGAAGTGGCCAATTCCAGGAAGTGAGAGGGGAAATGGAATTAGGAAAGGCTTCACAGGGGAGGTAATCCCTGAAAAAAACTAGTATTTATTAGGACGCAAAGGCTAAAAATTACACCACGTGTATATATGTGCAACTTTCATGCCACACCTACTCTGATTATTATAAGCTATTATATGAACAAAGAAGTCTCTTTCAGTTAAAACCTCAGATAGGCCATGTATTCTTTCAAAGTTGTATCCTTACACAAGCTGACTGTGCCAAACAAAAATAAACTAGAAAGAAGACAAAGTCCTCCATCAAGATATTTAGGACACACACACAGCCAGCCAGAGCTGGCTCACCATCAAGGACAGTTTGAGTGATAAGCCCACAGCTCAAGTTTCCCAAGCTCTAATCTCCTAGGGCCACCAGTATAGCCTGGTCCTCAAAATAATGAGGGAGACAGACTGCAAAAGTTCTCAGATAAGCTTGCTCTTGTTGATAGCAATACAGGATGCTCGAGTAAACAGGCTGCATACAGGCCGCAGGCCTCCTTCTCCAAGCCAATGCAACAAGAACTGCTTACCGTACGCTGACAATGCTACCTATGGGGGCGTGCTTTGAGATTACAATTCCAGCGCATACGTGGAGAATGTAGGCCTTACACGACTTCAGTTTTGAAATTTAAACCTTTAACATCTCAATGCTCTTCTTTAAAATACAGCAAAAATTTGAGGCGCCTGGGTGGCTCAGTCGGTTAAGCATCCAACTTGGGCTCATGTCATGATCTCGTGGTTTGCTGAGTTGGGGCCCCACGTTGGGCTCTGTCCTAACAGCTCAGGGCCTGGAGCCTGCTTCGGATTCTGTGTCTCCCTGTCTCTCTCTCTCTCTCTCAAAAATAAACATTAAATTTTTTTTTAAATGTTTTATTTATTTCTAGGAGAGAGAGAGAGAGAGAGCATGAGCAGGGGAGGGTCAGAGAGAGAGAGGGAGTCACAGACTGAAACAGGCTCCAGGCTCTGAGCCGGCAGTCAGCCCAGAGCCCGACGCGGGGCTCGAACCCACGAACCGCGAGATCATGACCTAAGCGAAAGTCGGACGCCCAACCGACTAAGCCACCCAGGCGCCCCTAAAAATGTTTTTTAAATACAGGAAAAGTTAGTTTTGTACATTTGCACGATTTTCTCTCTTAACCGTTTTGAAGATGGGACCTCTTCCTTCCCCATTTTCTTTGCAGCATACAACTCTACAGAAATACCTGCTAATAATAACCCCAAAATATATAAAAACACACACGCGCTTATTTACATAGCTGATATACCTCTCCTTGTCCATGTGTTTGGATTACTAGCTGTTTGTGTGTCTTCTCAGTTTTTAACAGTCTGTATTCTCAAGCACGACAAGGAGCTCAGCTATTTAACTCTATTACTCTACTAAACGCAAAACAGCTCTGAAGTATTTTTGATAAAAGATGGTGGTAGAGTTGGCAAACCACTGTTAACACGACCAAAAAAGGATAAAATATCTAATTTGCCCAAAGGAAAACACTCCTTTGAAAAGATACACACACCCTTGTGTTTCTTGCACCATTATTTACAGTAGCCAAGATATGGAAGCAATGCAAGCATCATCAAGAGATGACTGGAGTTGGGGCGCCTGGGTGGTTCAGTCAGTTGAGTATCCGACTTTGACTCAGCTCATGATCTCACAGTTCGTGGGTTCAAGCCCCATGTCGGGCTCTGTGCTGACAGCTCAGAGCCTGGAGCCTGCTTCTGATTCTGTGTGTCCCTCTCTCTCTGTTCCTCTCCTGCTCATGATCTGTCTCTCTCTGTCTCTCAAAAATAAATAAATGTTATGCTCAGCGAAATAAGTCAGGCAGAGAAGGACAAATATCATATGTTTGCACGTATAGGAGGATTAGGAGGAACTTGACGGAGGAACAAGGGGGAGAAGAAGGGCGGAAATGGTGGGGGAAAGGGAGAGAGGCAAACCATGAGAGACTCTTGAATGCTGACAAAAACTGAGGACTGATGGATGTGGGGGGGAGGGGGGGATGGGCATGGAGGAGGACACTTGTGGGGATGAGCACTGAGTGTTATGTGGAAACTAATTTGACAATAAACTATTTGTAAAAAAAATAAATGAATAAAAATAAAAATAAATAAATAAATGTTAAAAAATGTTAAAAAAGAGAGATGACTGGATAACGATGTGGTGTACACACACACACACACACACACACAATGCAATATGACTCAGCCATTAAAAAGAATGAAATCTTGCCATTTGCAACAACACGGAGGGACCTAGAGGGTATAATGCTAAGTCAGACAGAGAAAGATAAATGCCATGTGATTTCACTTACATGTTGAATCGAAAAGAACAAAACAAATGAAGAAGCAAACGAAAACCAAACAGCCTCTTAAATACACAGAATGAACTGTTGGTTGCCAGAGGGAAGGTGGGTGGGAGCATGGGTGACATAGGTGATGGGGATTAAGAGGTATAAACTTGCAGTTCTAAAATAAGTAAGTCTCAGAGATGAAAACTATAGCATAGAGAATATAGTCAATAATACTGTAATCACATTGTACGCTGACAGATGGCAACCACATCTATTGTGGTGAGAATAGTGCGATGTATAGAATTGTCGAATCCCTACGGTGTACATCCAAAATTAATACAACATTGTATGTCAAGAAAGACACCTCAATAAATAAATAAATGCACACCCACCCCAAAAGCATAAGATACCCAGAGGTTTTCTTATCCCAGGAATTCTTGAATGGGGTGGTAATGAGATAAAGAGATCCATGAATGTACTGAAACTAAACAAAATTCTACGTGTAATATACAGTTTTCTGGGTGGA